CCCCAGGAGACAAGCCTTGGTCTCGCAGGCAAGGAGTGCCCGGCAGAGTCCCATGTGGATTTCTAGCCTGGATTCACAGGCTGCATGGCCCAGGCGGGTTTGGTCTGTTCACACTCAGCTCAGTGGGCATGTCCGAGGCTTTTGTGCTGGGAGCACCAGGCAGCCAGCCGGCTGGCCTCAGTGCCGCCCTGCTGGCCAGAAGCGAGATGGGGTGACCACGCAGCTGATGTGTGATGCCTCTTATGTGAGGCCAGCTACAGCTGGCCACGCCTTCCTGGGGAGGGGGCTGGTCCAGACCAGGTGGGCTCAGGGTTGGGGACTGGAAACTGCCTGGCAGCCCCAGCAGTGGGGACACCCTACCTTGGGTCCCCATCCTAACCCAGCCCCCTGTCTGTCAGCATACGAAGCTGCCCCCAGACAGCTCTCCCCTCCTTGTGTTCGTGAACCCCAAGAGTGGAGGCCTCAAGGGCCGAGACCTGCTCTGCAGCTTCCGGAAGCTACTGAACCCTCACCAGGTCTTCGACCTGACCAACGGGGGTCCCCTTCCTGGGTGAGTCCAGCAGGACCCCTGGTCCAGGGCAGCAGTAGGGGCAGGAGGGGTGGGAGGGGCCCCAGGAGGCTGCCACAGCTGTCTCGGCTGGCAGGAGCTCCACTGGGATCCCGTGCTGGGACCTTGAAGTCCTCCACATGGCCAGGACGGGCATTTGAAAAGGAAGGGGCAGCCTGGGTGGGGGATGGGCTGCGCCCACAGCTGCTGGAGAACACTTCCTGTCTCCTGCTAGGCTCCACCTGTTCTCCCAGGTGCCCTGCTTCCGGGTGCTGGTGTGCGGTGGTGACGGCACTGTGGGCTGGGTGCTCGGCGCCCTGGAGGAGACACGGTACCGACTGGCCTGCCCGGAGCCTTCTGTGGCCATCCTGCCCCTGGGCACAGGTGGGGTCAGCCATGCAGCCCAGGAGGGGCCTCAGGGTCTACCCCTTCCTGCGCAGCTTTTGCTGAGGCCTGGGCTGGCGTCTGTCCCTGTGGTGGGGTCTGCACTTGGCTGATGGGCGGGTGGGTGTGGACAGATGCTCTGTGTCTGCCTGTGTTCCAGGGAATGACCTTGGCCGAGTCCTCCGCTGGGGGGCAGGCTACAGCGGCGAGGACCCGCTCTCCGTGCTGCTGTCCGTGGACGAGGCCGACGCCGTGCTCATGGACCGCTGGACCATCCTGCTGGACGCCCATGATACTGGCGGTGCAGAGAATGGCACCGCAGACGCAGAGCCCCCCAAGGTACAGGGTGGCCCGGTGTGGGGTGCCCTTCAGGCTTCTGCATATGATCTGGTCACACGTCTCACAGTGGGCATCCTCCTCCCAGCCACACTCAGATGTATGCACCCACATCATCCCCTTTGCAAAGTAGGCAGTTGAGGGAGGCACAGAGAGTGGCCGCTGCTGGGAATTGTGCTGAGCCAGCTGGCGACAGAGCCTGGCCAGGACCTGCCCACGCTGCCCTCTCCTGGGTGGTGGGCTTGTTGCCGGGGTGGCCCTTGCTCTTGTCTCTTCCTGCCAGCAGGAGGCAAAAAACTAGACCTGCTGTTGGGGAGCTCAGGGGGCCTGGTGAGGGCGGCCGGGTCCTGAGAGATGAACGCCCTGTCCCCAGATCGTGCAGATGAGTAACTACTGTGGCATTGGCATTGATGCGGAGCTGAGCCTGGACTTCCACCAGGCACGGGAAGAGGAGCCTGGCAAGTTCACAAGCAGGTACCGGAGCCGCAGGGACCGCCACCTGGTGATGGCATACCTTCCTCGGGTCCCCCAGCAGGGATAGGCAGAGGGGCCGCCACCTGGTGATGGCATACCTTCTTTGGGTCCCCCAGCAGGGAGGGGCCGCCACCTGGTGATGGCATACCTTCCTCGGGTCCCCCAGCAGGGAGGGGCCGCCACCTGGTGACGGCATACCCTCCTCGGGTCCCCCAGCAGGGACAGGCAGAGGGGCCGGAATGCGGAGGCTGCCTAAGGCGGGGTAGTGCTCCCCCAGTGATGGGCGGCCCGCCCTGTCCCGCAGGCTGCACAACAAGGGTGTGTACGTGCGGGTGGGGCTGCAGAAGATCAGTCACTCTCGGAGCCTGCACAAGCAGATCCGGCTGCAGGTGGAGCGGCAGGAGGTGGAGCTGCCCAGTATCGAAGGCCTGATCTTCATCAACATTCCCAGGTGCTCACGGGCTCCCCAGAGGCTCTGCCAGGCGGGGCCACCGGCAGGCTCAGTCCTCGTCCCGCCTGCACCTACACCTCTGTGTCCGCTTTCTTATGCCGCAGCTGGGGTTCCGGGGCTGACCTGTGGGGCTCAGACAGCGACGCCAGGTTTGAGAAGCCGCGCATGGATGATGGGCTGCTGGAGGTGGTGGGCGTGACGGGCGTCGTGCACATGGTGAGCCGCTGCCCGGGTGTGTGGGCAAGCCCAGGGTGGTGTCCCTGGTCCCCACTGAGCCCAGCTGGCCTCTCCTGCCCCAGGGCCAGGTCCAGGGTGGGCTGCGCTCCGGGATCCGGATTGCCCAGGGTTCCTACTTCCGGGTCACACTCCTCAAGGCCACCCCGGTGCAGGTGGACGGGGAGCCCTGGGTCCAGGCCCCGGGGCACATGATCATCTCAGCTGCTGGCCCTAAGGTACGTGGGGTGAGGCTGGAGAACCAGGAGAGGTGGGCCAGGCTGGGCCGGTTGTGGGAGTGGCCGGTGGTACCTGGGTGATGCTGGCATGGCCTGCTGCGGCCCTGGTCTTCCTTGACTCTGGGGAGGGTGCCTGCCTCAGAGGAAGGCTGTGCCAGTGGTCAGGCAGGCCACAGGTGGCACAGGGAGCAGCCAGGCAGGTCCCTCCCCTTCCATGAAATGGGCTGAGATGGCGTCAGCTGCCCGGGGCCCAAGGACTTGGGGCTGCCCGTGCACTGTTCTTTCATCGGCCGTGTCACCCTGGCCCTCTGCCCCCTGCCCTGGGACAGGTCCACATGCTGAGGAAGGCCAAGCAGAAGCCGAAGAGAGCCGGGACCACCAGGGATGCCCGGGCGGACGCGCCTGCCCCTGAGGGCGATCCTAGGTAGGGGTGGCTGAGGCAGCCCAGGGGCTTGAGCCATCTCTGCCTCCGCCAGCCTTGTTTTCAGGTGGTCTAGAGGCAGCTCCACATCCACACGGTGGCTGGCCTTGTGGTTGGGCTTGGCTACAGCCCTGACCGCATCATCTTCCTGGGGCCAGAGCAGGACCAGCCCTCATCCCACTGGAGACTGCTGTGTGGGTGGCAGTGTTTCCTCATGTCCCGGGTGGGCACAGGGCTCTGGCTGTGGGGGCCTGGTCCTCTCTTCAGGGGTGGGCACTCATCCCTCCATACCTCTCCCTGCCAAGCCCCTTGAGCTGGAGAGTGCTGGACGCCGGCCGTCCAGGTGGGTCGGACCTCGCTTTGTGTCCCTCAGGCCTTCCCCCTGGCCAGTCTTTCAGAGCAGTAGGCTCCCTGGTGTGTCCTTACCCCCAGCAGACACAGGCTGCCAGCCCCTCCAGCCTCCCCTCCCCGCCCCGGGCAGCAGGTGTAGGCAGTCCCTGGTGGGCAGCGTCGGGCTGCTGGGTGGTTGTGACTGGTGACTTCCTTGTGTTGGGGGAAGAGAGAAGGTACCTTCCCTTGTTTTCTGGCCTTGTCATATACAGATGGCAGCTTGGACCCCAGGTACAGCTGCAGGGGCACAGTGCCCAGCTGGGCCTGGTGGCCCTTTCCTAGTGCCTGTGCTGGGAGAGGAGAACCTCTGTGGTGTGGAGGCCAGGAGGTCTCAGGTGCTGCCCTGGCAGCACCAGAATGTGGGCTGGGCCCAAGTGTCTGCCCCTCGGCCCTCAGGGTGGGGCATTTAGCACCTAGAAGAGACCAAAAGCAGGGCATGGTGGTGCAGAGGAGTTTGTGGAGGCGGAGACAGCTCCACGCATGTGGTGGAGGAGCTGGCTTTCAGCCCCAGACTCCACGCTAGCACTTTCCATGCTGCTTGCTCCCTGCTGACATGCAGTTCCCAGTGTCTGTGTGAGCCGACATCTGCTCAGTCCTATCCCTCGTCAGCATGTGGAGACCCAGCTCCTGCATCGCCCCTGCTCCCACATCCCCCAGACAGCTCGGTGGAGGGTCCTGCGTCTGGGCCAGGCTGGGGTGCACCCAGTCAAAAGACAAAGCTGCCTCCACATGCCCAAGGATTCAGACAGTGCACTGGCCCCAGGAGGAGTCTGACCAAAACTGGAGCCAGCCCTGTGGGAAGCCCTGACTCCCCCGACGAGAAACAGGCCCACAGTGCGGATATCCCCCTTCCCCTTGTGGGGCACAGCTGGCCTGGGCCTCCGATTCTGCGGAGCTTTCGGGGTGTGGCCTTGACCTCAGAAGTGGCTCTGGTTTGGCCTCAGGAGTATGTGGCCTGGCCCAGCCTGCTGCAGCCTCCTGGGGGACCCTTGGTGCCACTAATCCTGACCCCCCCGCTTCTGCCAAAACTGCACAGACACATGCATTGTAAGGCCTGCTCACGGCCTCAAGTGTGCACTCTTGTTTACGTCATCGTCAAGACCAGTCCTTCATTTGTGATTAGTTTTGCTTTGCGAGCCCTGGTGTGGACTGTGGTGTGTATGAATCGTGTGTAACTGTGGTGAGGGGTTTGTCCTGTATGTGAATGAGTCTGTACCCAGGTGAGCTCTGTGCCCTGTACAGCAACTGGGCCCCTCTGTATTTATCGCTGCCTGAATGCAACAGTAATTTATATCTGGGACAAATACAGTTTGGGCGTCACTGTCCTGCCATCTCTTCCTCATCTTTGTGTCAACAACCTGGCATGGCACCCCCTGCCCCTGCCGCCAGCTCTGTATAGGCCTCGAAGGGGCTGGGAGTGGGCAGTCCCTCGGGTGGGTGGGCTTGGTAACGTGTCTTCAGGTTGGAGAGAGTGGATAGGCAAATGCCATAAAGCACATTTCAAGTTCCCGTGAAACTCCTCTCCCCGCAAAAAGTGGAGAACAATTTGAGGACTGAAATAGAGCATATTTCACAATGAAAATAAAACCCGGCCATGCAAGAACCACTGTGGCCTGCCCGCGACTCGGCTTCCCCTCCCGGCGTCCTGTCCTCCCTGGTCCATCTCCGGTGGGGACGGCAGGGAGTGCGCTCTGTGGCCGCTAGCAGGGGGCAGGGAGGAGCTGGGACTGTGGGTCGTCCTGGCCCGCAGGGGCCGGCGGGGGGTGTTCAGGCCGGGCGATGCCGCGCAGGACCCGCAGGCTGGCCAGGGCCAGGCCCACGAGCAGGCGCAGCAACAGGAAGGCGCAGGGCACGGCGATCTGCATGAGGTGGAAGATGCCCACGCTGAACCTGCTCAGCAGGCAGGTGGAGGCGAAGGCCAGCAGGCTGGCGCAGGGGTACAGGGCCAGCTTCGCGAACATGAGCGCGTGCTCCCGGCCGCCAAACCACACCGAGGGCCGCAGCGTCTCCGCCTGGTGCAGCAGCGCCGTGGTCCAGATGGCAAACTGGAAGATGCTGGCTAGGAAGATGATGGCGCAGCTGACGCGCACACGCTCCAGCTCGTCACGGGGCTGCTGGGCGAAGGCCGAGGTCTGCTGGTAGGCCAGCGGGAGGCCACCCACGAAGGCCAGCGAGAGCGTGTTCAGCAGCCCCATGGCCCGCGTGGCCTTGCGCACGTGCAGGAAGAGGGAGTGGTGGGCGAACCACAGCAGCCCCACCGTGGCGAAGGAGCCAAAGTACGCCAGGAAGCGCGGCCCGGTCGCGCTCAGGGCAGCCACGAGGCTGCCGCCGAACCTCTCCTTCACGTCCTTGGGGTCCGGGACGTTGTCTTCGCTGAGAACAGTGAACAGAGGCATTTGTGCCGGCCTCACCGTGGCCCCCGCAGGCCCCCGCAGGGTGGGCTGAGCGCCTGTCAGGGCTGCCTGGACCCGGCACATGGTGCAGATGAACCATGTGGACTTCCCAGTGGGCGAAATTTCAGAACGCCGTATTCATGTATATTTGGCACACTGACCATTATGTCCTGTCCATCTGCAATTCCACAGAAACTGGCACCCTTCTGCTCTGTGCTAATGGGAGCCCAGTCCTGCTGGCCCGGAGTGCTGCTGGGGGCCCTGGGCTGCAGCCTTCTCTGGCCGAGGCTCTCCTGCGTCTGCTGTGCAGGACCAGCCTGCCGTGGGGCAGCGAGGTCTGTTCCCTCCCAGCTTCCAGCCCTCGGAGCCACCCACACCACACCCTGGCTGAAGATCCGTGGAGAGCTTGCCTCCATGGTTCTCAGATGCACACAGGGTCTCAAGAGGCCGACTCCCAGGCCGGACTCTGCAGCCCCAAGGAGGCTGTGGGAACCACCCCGGTCAGGGCTGCTGCCTTCTGACGGCACCACCCAGAAAGCCGGGAACAGTGTCATCTTTCAACATCAGGACATGGAGGACAGTGGTCCTCAAGCAGCCCTGACCAGACTTCTGTCCTCCAGAACGACAGGCAGAGGTCAAGGGGGTGAGGGACAGGGGGTGGGAAAGGAGACAGACCAGGGGCAGCAAGGGAAGGAAGTTGCTGGGAGGGGGCAGCTCCCCTGGCTGTGGCTCCAGGTGGAGGAGAGGTCACTGTCCCAGCCCTACACTGCAGCCTCTCCTTGGCAGGTCCCTCCCAAGGGGGCCTGAGCTGGCCTGGCACAAGCAGGCAGGTCACCCTGCAGTGTCCCTGGCACCTGGGCCTTAGAGATCAGGTGCCAACGAATGCTTCCCATTCTTAAAAATGCACACGACAGCAGAGAAGAGCATCAGGAGGCTTGAACTCAAGAATATCAAGTACAGAATATAAAACCATAGCGTCTGACCCCAAGGAGATCAAAGTGCTAAACTATGACGGGAGAACAAGACACTCCAAAAGAATGTTAAAAAGCAAATTCAAACATTACGATAGCCAGGCGCGATGGCTCACGCCTGTCATCCCAGCACTTTGGGAGGCTGAGATGGGTGGATCACCTGAGGTCAGGAGTTCAAGACCAGCCTGGCCAACATGGTGAAACCCCATCTCTACTAAAAACACAAAAAGTTAACTGGGCGTGGTGGTAGGCGCCTGTAATTCCAGCTACTTGGGAGGCTGAGGCGGGAGAACCGCTTGAAGCTGGGAGGCAGAGGTTGCAGTGAGCTGAGGTTGAGCCACTACCCTCCAGCCTGGGTGACAGAGCAAGACTGTAAAAACAAAAAACAAAACAAAACAAAAAACCCACAAAAAACAACGTGACGACTAAGATAAGCACTCTAACAGATGAAGTGGTGGTGAGGCAGTGGAGGACAGACGCTGGAAGGAAGCAACAGCAGGCCAAGGGGAGCGGGAGGGGCTGGGAGGCGATGTGGGGGACTGGGAGGCGATGGCGGGGGCTGGGAGGCGATGGGGGGGACTGGGAGGCGATGGCGGGGGCTGGGAGGCGATGGGGGGGACTGGGAGGGAGCAGGAGGGAATAGGAGGGACTAGGGACCAGGAGGGGCTGGTGCTGGGGCAGGGGTGAGGCCTGGGGTAGGGTGACACCCATGGATATGAGCCCCTCTGGAAAGAGTGAGGAGAGCAGTTGGCGGCTGGTGCTGACCTCGCCCTGGCACCCATCCCCGGCCCGCACTTGGGGTGGGAGCCACTGGGAAGGGAGGGACCACTGTGAGGGTTGTCCTCCCTGAAGCGGGGGCTGCCCTGACCTCACACAAAACTCCAGGCATCCAGGGGAGGGTGAAGCCGAGACCCCTGTGCCTTTCTGGGGTTTCCAGGACTCACACACACTGGCCACCTGATAGCTGGGGCACATGACGCGGGGTCCTCACCAGATGTCCAGGATGAGAAGGGTGGCCACGATGGCATAGACGCCGTCACTGAAGGCTTCCACCCGCTCCTTGCTGAGTGGCTCATGGAGGTCAAATGTGAAGACTTCCACTGGGTGAGCCGAGGGCTCCCTATGGCCTGTGGACACGCCAGGAGGGGGGAGCTGGCCAAGCCCCCCAAGTGGAGCCAGAGCCCGCATGGCTGTCACTGCCCTCATCTCTGAAGAGGCCTGGAACGTGCAGGCCAGGAGAGGAGACAAGACAGGGATGCTCCGAGAGGCACAGTGTGGGAGCCCCAGCCACCACCAGGCACGGGCCTCGGCCCACGGACAGCCCTTGGTGTGGAGCAGCCACACGGAGCAGGGCACACTGTGGGCCTCGCAGGCCCGCCCACCCAGCCATCACCCAGCCACACGGAGGGGGGCGCACTGTGGGCCTCGCAGGCCCGCCCACGCAGCCATCACCTACCCAGGAGCCTGTCTCTGCACCAGCCGGTGACCTTGCTGACGTAAGGGAGGAGGATGACAGTCACCATCAGCAGGTAAGACTGCAGGGAGACAAACCACAGGTCAGTGCCCTCCACAGGGGGCTGAGGCCAGGCCTCATCCACACAGAGCTGTGTGCCAAAGCAGGGCAGTGCCCTCCACAGGGGGCCGAGGCCAGGCCTCATCCACACATAGCTGTGCGCCAAAGCAGGGCAGTGGCAGAAGGCAGGGTCTTTGCAGATCATGTGTCTGATAAGGCCTAGTACCCAATAAGTGTAAAGAATTCTTAAGCCAGCAGGGGCTCATGCCTGGAATCCCAGCACTTTAGGAGGTTGAGGCAGGTGGATCGCTTGAGCTCAATCGATCGAGACCAGCCTGGGCAACACAGTAAGACTGAATCTCTATGAAACATAAAAAATTATCCAGGCGTGACTGTGCGCCTGTTGAACCTGGGAGGTAGGGGTTGCAGTGAGTGGTGATCCAGCTCACTGTACTCCAGCCTGGGTAACAGAGCAAGACCGTGTCTTAAAAATTTATCGTCTATCTACCTATCTGAAATTCTCACAACAATAAAAAGATGACCCAATTAAAAATAGGCAAAGGATGAGAACAGACATTTCTCCAAACAAAACATGCAAATGGTCAATCTGTCGCAGATCAAAACCACAATGAGATTCCTTCATATCCACTAGGATGGAGAGAAATGAAAAACAGCAGGTGTTGATGAGGATGTGGAGAAACTGGAAGCGCCGTGTGCTGCTGGTGGGAATGCAAAACGCTGCAGTTACTGCATTTTGTTTGGTGGTTCCTTTGGTGGTTCCTCAAAAAATTAAACTTAAAAAACTAAACAGAGAATCACCAAATGACCCAGAAACTCGCTGCTGGGCACACGCACCAACAGCCTGAGAAGACAGATCTGAAGAGACACGTGTCCAACTCAAAGAGGCATCACTCCATCAGTGCCCACAGTGGCACCACTCATGACAATGCGCACAGTGGCACCACTCACGACAGTGCTCACAGCGGTGTCACAGCAGCTACACGTGTCCAGCAATGGTCACAGCAGCATCACTCACAACAGCTGGAGGTGCACTTGCCCAGATCCCCGTCCACGGATGAGTGGGCCCACATGACGTGGCACGAGACTCACAATGGACTATTTTTGGGCCACAGAGAAGGAACGCGGTTCTGACACGGGTGACAACATGGGTGAATCTTGACAACAGTATGTTAAGTTTAAGAAGCCAGACACAAAAAGGCCGCACACTGTGTGAGTCTCTGCATACGAAGAATCCAGAACACACAAGTTCACGGACACAGAAAGTGCATCTGGCTCCCAGGGACTAGGGTGGGGCAGGGGATGCGGAATGGGGAGCAACGGCTCCTGGGTGCTGGCTTTGCACTGCAGGTGATGACAGGTTCAGAACAGGAGAGAAGGGGTGCCTGCATACAATGCGAATGCACTCCGTGCCCCTCAAGTGAGCACTTCGTATGGTTAGGATGGTAAATGTGTGTATTTTACCAAATGTAATTTAAAAAGGGAGCACAGAGGACCAGACCATGTGAGTGTCCTGGTCCTGAGAGGCCTGTGTCTTTGCACTCAGCCCTGCGGAAGTGCTCAGGCTAGTGCAGCCAACACACGCGTGACAGCCCCAGGCCTTACTCCCACCCTGGGCGTGGCACTTCCACAACTCCTCGCAGGCAGCTCCTGGCCTGGGCCATGCTGTCCGCCCTCCCCATCACATGGCCCCAGTTGGCAAGATGGACCCCTCCAGTTCACCACAAGGGTGAGAACAACACAGACATCAAGGCCAATTCCAGACACATTCATGATCCAGTTTGCAGGCTTCAAGTAACCAACACACGATGAGGGAAGTGCCTCCAGGTGCCAGGTGGGAGTGAGCAGGACGTCCTAGCAGGAGGCAGCCAGCACCCTGGGGTCAGCAGGTCGGGGGAAGTGCTGTGGAAAAGCAGGGAAAGAAACTAGGGAGGAGGTAGCCCATGTTGGGGGTAGGCAGGGGGGTCTGGGGACTTGCAGTGTAGGGTCAGGGAGGGCCTGGGGATGGGGACCATGCAGAGTGCGGGAGGGAAGGTGGAGGCAGCTGCTGCTACAGGATGCAGGGCACGAATGTCAGAGGCCCAGGGCAGAGCCCAGGACCCATGTGGTATGTGCTACAACAGGAGGGCTCAGTGGCCAAGGTCATCCAGGGGAGGTGGGGACGGCATGGCCCATGGCAGTGAGAGGCTGGGCCTGGAGAACAGAGCCCAGCGTCTGAGTGGAGGCTGGGGGGGTGCACAAGGACACCTGCGGGTCTGTCCCAATGACATGTAAGGGTGGAGGGCTGCAGGGCTGCAGCCAGGGAGGCCTGACAGTGTGGACAGAAGGAGGCCAGTGTGGGGTGAAAGCCCCAAGGTGCGGGGGCCGAGCAGAGGGACCAGCAGAGATGGAGGAGCAGATGCAGAGGGGCCTCGCGAAGACCCTGCAGCTGTGGAGGATGAAGCTGGGATGCGGCACCGAAGGCTGAGGATGGACCGTTGCCCTGCCAGTGCCACAGAGAGCAAGGTGGCTGCTGTGGCCTGGTCCCTCCCTCTGGAGTCCTGGAACTGCTGACAGCTTGGGCCTCCCAGCCCCACCCCTGGAACCCTCCTTCCTAGAGTCTGCTGGTTTCCCTTTCGCCTCCCATCCAGGCTTCCCTGGGCCAGCTGCGGGAGGTGAGGGCACGGTCACCGCAGGCTGCTCACCCTCCCCAACACCGCACCTGTTCGTGGGCAGCTGGGCCGGGCTGTCCTGTGCTTCTTACCTCCAGGCCTGGCCCCAGGTCAGCCTCAGGCCCTCAGGCTTGCTGGCCACTCGCCTGCCCTCAGCCCCTCCAGGCCCACGTCTGGGCCCTGTGGCAGGTGTGGCCGCCCTGCCCAATCCCAGCCATGGGTGCTGTGCCTTGGCTGTGTCCTCCACATGATGGCTATCCCCTAGCCTGGGTCCTGATCTCCTCAGCCTGCCTGTCTCCTGTCACTCGGCCACTACCAGAAGCGGCTGTCCCACCTCTGAAACCAGGACTGCCCCAGACCTGCTGCCCCTTACCCTTGCCCACTGTGCTGGCCACCCACCCGCCTGCCTCTGCCCAGGGCTCAGCCCACCTGCCTTCTGCCCAGAGCCCCTGCCCCTGCTCTGACCTCACAGAGGCTGCAGTTGAGGACGCCCGCCTCTCCTGCCGGTGCCTGTGGGTGGCCCACCCTCCCTGAGGAAGTCCCTGGCCTCCAGCCTGCCCCATACGCCGACCCCCACATCTCCCTGACATCTCCTCCTCCCTATTTCACAAGCATCAAACGCATCCAGTCTAAGAGCCAAGCAGTGCAGCAGCCACAGCCCCTGGGACTCACAGGCCACCCCCCAATTCTGGCCCGGTGCTCCCGAGGCCACCCCCCAATTCTGGCCTGGTGCTCCCGCTGGGCTTAGCTATGCCCGGCCTGTGGGCCTCCGACACTCTGGAGCCAGCCCTGCTCAGCTCCCCAGCTCGAGCCCCTCTGGGTGAAGGAGACGGCCTGCCCAGGCCTCTAGTGAGTGAGGCAGCAGCACCAGGCCCTCACTGGACATCTGTTATTTTGTTTCTTTAGAGACCGGGTCTTTGCTGTGTTGCCCAGGCTGGAGTACGGTGGCTATTTGCAGGCACAATCCCTCTATTGATCAGTACGGGAGTTTCGACCTGCTCCACTTCCACCCTGGGCTGGCTCCACACTCCTTGTGCAACCTAGTGGTTCTCTGCTCCCAGAATCACCATACTGGTGCCAAACTTAGTGTGGACATCCGACTGGCATAGCCGAGAACTACAGCCAGAACTCCCCGGTGCCCGCGGTCCCCCTGCGTCAGCCTCCCAAGTAGCTGGGACTATAGGTGCGTCACTGCCATCTGGCTGCCGTTTGTTTTAAACTTGGGATTCTTCTGAAATATTTACTAAACATTTAAAATAACAACCATTCATTTCTCCACAATTCTTATGATGCTTTGAGTTTAAAAATTCAATTTACTTCAAAGGTGCTCAAGCTGGTCCAGCTGTCACAAATAAAAGCTGCTACTGAAAGCAACTCTGAAACGGCTGCCTTTTAGAGTTTTCTCTCTGTTCCTGGATGATGGTGGCATTACTAGAATGATGGTCTTATCCTATTAAAATCAGCCATTGGCTTAAAAAACCCAAGTGAGCAGACCTCAGTCTTTGAGCTAAGAGGCTCCCAGTTGTCTTTTACCTGAGTGAGGGCTGCTAGGAGGCCCTGCTCTCTGCCGGCCCTGCCCCCGCACTGCTGCCCAGATGCACTGGCCCCACAGACCTGGCTCCTGCTGCCAACAGCTGGGTTCTCAGCGCTGTTTTCTCTACTTTCCCAGGCTCCATTCTGGGTTCTGGAACTTCCTTTCGTTGCCTTCTCCCTGGTGGCTCACATTCTCCAAGTACCAACAGCTGACATCTCCATGAGCAGATGCTAGTCTTATCCTCAGGGGCTCCTCCTCCAAACACTGTTAGGTGTTTACTGTCTTGACACAGTTTTGTATAGATTCCTTATCCAAAAGAAAATAGGCTGGGCACACTGGCTCATGCCTGTAATCCCAAGGAGGATGCCTGGGAGGCCGAGGCAGGTGGATCACAAGGTCAGGAGTTCGAAACCAGCCTGGCCAACATGGTGAAACCCTGTGTCTACTAAAAATACAAAACTTAGCCGGGTGTGGTGGCGGGCGCCTGTAATCCCAGCTACTCAGGAGGCTGAGGCAGGAGAATGACTTGAACCTGGGAGGCGAAGGTTGCAATGAGCCGAGATCGCACCACTGCGCTCCAGCCTGGGAGCAAAACTCCGTCTCAAGAAAAAAAAGAAAAAAAGAAAATAAAGGCCAGCATGGTGGCTCACACTGTAATCCAACACTTTGGGAGGCTAAGGTGGGAGGATCACTTCAGTCCAGGCATTCCAGATTAACCTGGGCAACATAGCAAGACCCTGTCTCCACCAAAAATACCAAAATTATCCAGGTGTGCTGGTGCACACCTGTAGTCCCAGCTACCTGGGAGGCTGAGGTGAGAGAATCGCTTGAGCCCGGAAGGTTGAGGCCGCGATGAGCTAAGGTCACACCACTGCCCTCCAGCCTGGGTGACAAAGCGAGATCTTGCCTCAATAAATAGAAAATAAAACAAGAAAATGAGGACATCCCCGGACTCCGGGTGTCTCTGTTTCTCGTCATCGTCGTTGTGAAGCTTCACTGAGGACACTCAGCTGCCCCTTCCTTCGATGAGTATCCGTCTCTGTCCTTGACAGGCTGGGTCTCGGGGCCTCAGATGGAGCAGGACTCCCTCCCTGGTGCCACTCACTGCAGCCCTGGGCCTCACACACAAGACCCTTGGAGGGACCCCTGCCTGCCTACGGCTCTGCCCCCACCCGCATGTTTGTTGCTCAGTGGGGACATCGCTCCTACGGTGGCCCCCGTTCCTGCCCGGGCCCCAGGGGGCTGTCCCAGCACTCACCAAGGGGACAAAGAAGAGGGAGAAGATGGCCGCTGCAAAGCACAGGGCTGGGCCTTGGAGGACGATGCCCAGGACGTGTTGTCGGTACCGAGCCCTGTGGGCGGAGCACTGGATCTGTGGGCTCAGCAGGTGCGGGAAGTGAAATGCGTACCCCACAATCAGTGCCTGTGGAAAAAGCAAGCTGCAGGACGCTGGCCCCGAAAGCAGAGGGCCCCCACACCAGTCAACCCCTGGGCTGCACAGCACGCACACATGCAGGGGTCTCGGGGTGGGGGAGGACCTGGCCGGTAGAGGTGGGCTTGTACCCGGGACACTTCGGGCACAGGGGCTGAGGTGGAGTGAGAACAGGAGCCCCTGCTGGCTCCTGGGGCCGCATGTGGGGGGTCTCAGGGCCCACTCTTCCCAGTCTCTGGTCAGAAAGCAGGGGAGCTCTGGGCATGCCACATCGTATGCGTCTAGGTGGCCCCGGGCACCCTACTTGTGTGACCCAACAGCGATCGATCACACACACACACACACACACACAGCACAGGCCCCCCTGACCCCTACCT